TCAGAGAAAGGAATGGTATCAGTGAATACAGAATATATTTACACAAAATACATCAGATTTAATTTGGTGATACAGATGTATAGGCATCAGTTTAGTTATCCAAACTGAGCTGGGGAAAAAAAAAGTATAGTAAAATTTCCAATGAATAGAAAGGGGTTTTTTTGACTGTGTAGGCAAAAAAAAACCCCACCAACCCATTGTTGAATAGTTCCCAGTACACTATTCCCCATAACATTATTTCTACTACATAATATTCCTATACAGTATTTTTAATATACTTTGTAATTAATTTGTATTTGCTTACTTTAGTATATTAACATTTTTACTCTTTTGATTCCATTCAGTATTACACAACCTATAAAATTCTAAAAAGATTAATACAGAGAGTCTTCATTTTGCAGCAGAGGCATAATTGTTAAACTGAAATAATTGCTCCAGCATAAGCCAAAGAAAACACTGATAGTTGTATCCAGCAGGACAATAAACTGGAAAAAGTTGGACCTATCTGGCCAACAGTATACAACCAACAACTTTATCATCCTATTCCAGGTTGATACTTAGACTGGTTTCCAACAGAAGGTTCCTCTTAACAACTTTTTGGTTGCCCTTTTCAGTTAAAGATGGACGAAAGGTAGCAGTCTCAAATATAATTAAGATTTGACCAATCTAAAAAAAGATGATGATTGAGGCAAGGTGGGATATCAAATTAACATCCTCAGCAAGGCAAGAAGAGGCCAGATTCAGCACTTGCCCTGTCTGGCTGCACCTTGTTGGTCAAGCAACACGAACCAAACTCCAAACCAGACATGTTTCAGCTCTTGCTCAGTGGATACATCAATGAGGAGATGGCTTATTAAAAATCGTGGTCATGTGTGTGCATGCATTGTGGTGGCAGAATGAGGGCTCTGGAGGTAGAGGGAAAGGGAGGCTTAGGACAACAGAGAAGGTGACAGAAAATGAAACTTACTTATTACGAAGCTCATATTTTTGAAAATGCTTTATGCATATGCACATACATACTGTGGACTGCCATGTGCTCAAAACTGGAGACTTTTGAAGGCCTACAGGTATCTGCAATGGTTTATCTCAGCATAACCCATAGAAGAATACTAACTACATCACTGCAGTTAAGATTTAAGGTGTAAAGAACCCATTCAACTGTAGCTGGATGTGGTTGAAGGGAAAAAACGCATACCAGAAAGACTCAGGTGAAACTTTGACAGCAAAATAGAAACTTGAAATCTAAGTGCAAACCAGAGACAAAATGCATCTATTCCATCCTTCTAGCAAATAGAAGGGCTACTAAGAAGTGAGTCTTTATAGAAAGATGAAAAGCATGCAGCTATAAGTACAAATGATCTATAAAGGAAGTGCACCCAATTCAAATGCAGTTGTGGAATGAGATCCTTAATTGTATACAAGAACCTCTGACCAAGCCTCTGAAGTAAGAAAAAGTTGCGAAACAATAAACCATAGCAAAGTCCTTCAAGATAGGAAACAACTGAAATAGGAATTGGATTAAATAGTTGCCAAGGGACCATTAATATTGCAGGATTCTCTACAAGTAAATATCTACAATGTAGTCTAGTGTTGCTTTAAGAGCTGTCTCCCTGCTAGACCTATTCACATTTCAAATCTACATGTTTTTTCGAAGTACATCTGCTTTATGAACTTTCCTCAGCTCTTACAAAGAATACTCTTTTCAGGACCAAGGAGCACACATATTTTACCCCTGAGAGCCACCAAGCATCAAAGCTATATGATAAAGAAGTTTGATGTTCATGAAGGGAAAGTGATCTGAAAAGCACATCTAGAGCTTTAGGCAGTCCAACATATTCATTAAATGGCAGAGGGCATGTCCTAAAGCCAAAATTACTTTGGGCATAGCGGGAAGAACAAATCCATCACTGTCTTATTTTCTGGACCACTTTTTTGAAGAAACAAGATATGGGATCAAGCAGATACTAGCCCATAACCACAGGATTAGGGACTTATCCAATATGTATCATGGAGTGAAACTGGTTGGAGGGAGGTAGGAATGACCATTCTAGTTCATTCCTGAAGCAGAGATCAATTTGTTACCCGCCAGTTCTGGTAAAAATCATTCAGAGCACAGCCTCATTCACACTCCCATATGGTGAACACAGGTTGTCTGCAAGGCTACTTGAGGTGGGCAGTCTGTTGAGGTGTGAGTTTGATACTTAACACAACATTCTCAAAGAAGCAACGATCTTTTGCTCGAAACATAAAAAAAATCATAGTATCCTAAGAACTGTCCACTTTCAGTAACTCCTGTTACATAAGATAAACACTACACATGCTTTTGACACCTTGCACCTCTGAAATTAGGACATAAAGATGAACTTGCTTGAAGTATCAGAGGTCCTACAACCCAAATATCAGGATCTCCCTTAAGATGGATCTGGAAAACAGCTAAAATGTATGAAGACATTGCCCTACAAACACTGACTATATGCAGTCTCTGCTGAAGACGACAGCCAAAACCCAAGCCAAACTAAGCTCTCTGATGGGCATGTGAACACTGACCATTCCTCAATGCCAAAAATTTAGACTACCTCTTCTATAGGCAGGAATATCTCAACTATTCTAACTGCTGAGTTTTGTGGAACAGAAATCCTTAAAAAAGTTCTCGTGCAGTACTACAAAAGTGCTAATGCAAAGACCCTCTCTCCTTCCTTTTACTCCTAAACAGTACCACATTGTGCTGCAGCTTGATAGGGACCTGCTAAAGACCGTTCAACTCAATGAGCTGATGCTGCAAAATTAATGATTCATCCAAATGGGTGTATTGTCTCTAGCCTAAGCACTTCTATCAAATATCTCCTGGGACTTGGGTTGACCCTGGAAAGACTGAGCAGTGCACAGGTTGTACAGAACAGAATTCCTGAAGGTCAATCCCTAGAGACATTTTAATCCTTTGATGCAAACTAGAAAGGGTTCCTTGATGATAAGTCACAAAAAAAAAAAACCAACCCAAGAGAGAGAAGGGGACAAGGAGAGCGTTTGCTTTTTCTTCCATAAAAATACATGCTGGAAATCATCTTGTATAGGATGAGGAACATCCCAGTACAGCGTAACTATTAGCTGTAAGGATCAGGCCCAATGACACAAGGTAAGTTCAGAATGTGATCACTGACCAAAATACACTCCAAAATCATTGGTGGTTTATATTATTTCTTATGTTGTCACTGGTCACGTTGCATTGTGTAGGACATCCAGCTTAGTATACCCTGCTTCCTTCCAGGAAGAAAAAGATGAATTTAACATCAAAATGGATCTTGCTGCAGTGAACTTACGATTAGTACTGCACGAGGCCTAAACAGTGTAAAATATCCAGTGAAAGGTTTAGTCTCTTAACCCTGGCCCTTTGTAGTATTTGTCAGCAAAGAAAGGATTATAAAGGGTATTTCTTTGTGAGGTCCATGTCTTTCCAAGATTCATAGAACTTAGAACCCTATATTCAATGGAAGAAAAGCACTTCTAGTGATGTTCTGCGGAATGAACGGTTTACCTAGTGCAGTAGCAGCCTTGCTATGCTTCTCCTCTGTCTCCCTGGCCTTATCCATTCCATTTGAGGTCAGATTCAGAAACATCAGTGCAGGAAATGGCCCACTCAAACTTCTGCAAAGATTGCTTGAATTGGGAGGTCTCGGTATACAGCAGTATTGCCAGACAAAAGAAAGTGACATTTCTGGGAAACAATCCCATCAGCACCTTGCCCCAGAATCTCAGGAAGACCTGTCTCCTAATCCAGATACAGCCTTAGCTCAGAAAAGTCGAAAGTTGAACCTGAACAGTCAAGTTTCTGGGTTGCAAGACAAAGTAATGATGGGCTCCATAGAAGACTACTATGGACAATTAAGACTACTGGATGATTAAGAAGTATTAAGATGGTTGGGAGGCAGGTGGCACATCACGCCATTCAGCTAGAGAAACACAGTTTAATCTCTAGAGAAGAAATGACTCATTCTTTTTCTTCCACTCAGGTTCCTATAATCCAGTATACCTTTATCCACTGCAGTACTTTGTGATAAGAATACATTACACTTATCCCAATCCTTCCAATGAAAATTCTGTCTGCTTCATTATGCTGTGAATTTTTTATTACTGGAAAGAAAAAAAAAAGTATTTTTTATTTTACATGCAAATGCATTTTAAAATAAATTACACACTTGAAAAACATGGTCATTATGAAAATATTAAATATACTTTCTGAAATATTTGCCATTGAAAGTAGTAACTTCTTAAATCTTAACACCAGAATAGGGTAAGTAACTACAGTTTATTCAGACACTATTTCATAGTAGTCTAATTCATCCATAGGATGCTTGGACATGTAATGATGTAATTTTGTAACATTATTATTTGTAAAGTAAGCTTTGCATTTTCTGTCACCATGAAGAAATGCTGGCAATTACCAAACAGAGTAATTACAAGTTTTTCCAACCATATTATACAACAGTGCTTGGAAAGCACTGTTGGTATTCTAGAGCAGTGGTCTCCAAAGTGGGGTGTGAGCACAACAATCCATTCAGGTGTGGGAAGAAAATATTTTTTGTACCATTAAGAAATAAAAATAAATAAAATAAAATATTTTTAAAAGTAGTTTTTACTTCATCCTAATCTCATCTTTTAAATTCCTATTATTGTGTATGTTTTATAATGTACTTAATATATTAGTGCAGCAGTACATGTATATAAATTACAAATAAATAAATAAATAAATAAATTGAGGGGGAATGCTCAAAAATTTTTTACTGATAGAGCTGCTGAAAGTTTGGAGACCACTGCTCTAGGGAATACAGACTAAGTTCCAAGCCCCACCAAATTCTCCTGGCTGTGTCACAACTGGAAGCTGTGATAGCTGTTTTATAATATGAAAGTCTGTGGTCAGAAAGCTCATGTCACATATCTTGAATAAATATTCATCATGTTTTAGTAGTTAATACAGGTTGAAAAAGATCTGAGTCATCCATTATAAAATGCTTTAATATCCCACTGAAACTTCACTGAATGTCAGTCCCCTGCAAACTTATTAGGAAGAATGATACAGGTATGTAAATGAAGGGGCAAAGGGAGGAAAGGGGTAAGAAAACCTCCCAGAACTATTAAAAAAAGTAGAAGGTGTTTTGTGTGCCCAGCCCTTGCAGAAATTCTTGGTTCTTTAGAGAGTGAAGTAATTCTGAAAATCAAAATTACAAAAAAAAAAAAAGTACAAATTATATACCTGATGTAACCCTGTTCAATGTGTTTTGAAATACACAAATATATATAGTTGTATTTACAGCTCTAAAGTTTATTTATGCTATTAAGAGTGTGACACTACAATACTTAATATGTTTGCCTTTGTCCTGAGAACAGGACATCCTTATTAAAAGACTATCAATTTTGGTTTCTCTCTTGATTTCACAAAGCTCAAATGTTCTTCTTTCAGAACTTCCTTTGACTTTAAGCGTAAGCACTGTGGATTTTACTTCCACTAGAAAATGGCTTCTATTGAGCATTTTAGCTGATTGTATTTGCACCTCAAGAAATTCTGAATATTGTAACATGTAAAATTAACTAATTTTCAGAAAACCTTATATGAATTTGGTTTTTTTGCCTCTTTTAAAAACTCTACAAAGAACAGGGATGAACGAAATGGATTTACTGGATCTTAATTTTACCTGCATCAGCAAAATCACAAAAAGGAACTCCTGGTCTGTCTGTCTCAGAATCTCTGGTTAGTATTTCAGCAATACATAAAGACAATTTCTGAAGATCATGAAAATGTTCACATCCAGTTCTTGCATTAACATACAAAGCTCCCAGCTTGGTCCAATCACTTTTTTCCTTGCAATGCTGTGAAGAAGGCAAGGGATAAATATAAGCGAACCTGCTTCCAGAACACCAAACAAAAACTATATTGAAATTCAAGAGATACGACTGGGATAGACTTAAAAGACACAGACAAAACGCTACTGCCAAGAACTCCATGTTCAGTACAGCACAGTTACATGTTGCCTAACTTGCATGGACTGCTAATCACTTTTGTCCCTCAAGAAATTAAAATCCTTTTTCCATTTATGTCATGACCCCAACTGGGCAAGCTTGTAACTTATTCATCTTATTTAAGTACTGGCATTCATCCAGTATTTTACTGTCTTTTTTTTCCCATGATGCATGCCAAATTGATGGTTATTTTCTTATGAATTAGTATTTTGCTTGCAAGATCACTTGATGACTTTGGTGTTAAAGGAGTAAAAAATCAGTCCTGTTTTTTCCCTTCTTAAATTTTGGTCTCAGGATCTGTGCAGTAAGTACAATAATACATAAACTATATTGTAACTGTGCATAATAAGTAATGTGCCCTTGAATGTGAAAGATGCAAGTGTCTAATTATAGAATTTAATAGCATTTTCTTATTCTTTAAAATACCTGCTTGGAGTTGCCAATTAAAGCCTCTGTGCCTTTTTTATACTAGGTTTTGAATTTTATCTGCTAAACAATATATTAAATAATTTTTTTGTGAGGAATGATGTACAACTACCTATTACAAGCACAACAAGTATAAGGCATAGGAAATAATTGCTTAAAATTATAAAATCTTTGAACGGGATGGAAAACCAAGATAAAAGCTACAAGTATGTGAATCACAATACTAACATCACAGAAAAACCAAAGACACTTTTCCTCTGCAAGTTAATCTTCCCAAAAGATTAACATAATAATATGCTTTGCATAAAAATATTTTATCATAATCTCAATATACTTAACAGTAAAGCTCACTAATTTTAAGTGATGCAGAAATTGCTATTTCTTGTAGGTTTAAAAGGAGTTATGGTTTAAGTATTCCAACAGGCTTGAAGAATGCACATACTGTACCTGAATTTCAGCCACTGCCAAGTTGAAGTCAAAAAGCCAGTTCTTTTCAAAATGTCTTTCCTGAAATCTTGCAGAAGAAAAAATATTAACACTTAATTTTAACACATCCTATTGAACTAAACTATGCACTAGCAGAAGGTGATCAACAAATTATCATATAGGAACTAAAAACTGATGTGATTTTTGATCCTATTTACTACACACTATGCAAACTGGACACTGAAAACAGACATTTACAATCGTGCCAAGGGAAGTCAGTATATGTATTAAGCAAATAATTGAGCAGAACTATTTTCACAGAAAAGATTCCCTTGTCTCAGTAGAAATGTAACTGAAAAGGTATGAACGAGACTTGCAATCCATAAAGTAAATCCAGAACTGTATTGTATACATTTCTGGCATAAAGGTTAAAAAAAAAAAAGTTAATTACATGAAAGAAAGTGCTACTCAGCTTCAAACACCTAGGAGCATAATACTTTATTCTGATACTGCCACTGAAACAACGGATACATCTACACCCAGTGTGATGGTATCATGTAAAGATATATAACCTACATATGAATGAACTAACACATGTAGTTCAAGTAGCACAGCTGCTCAGTCTTCATAGATTCAGACTGTTTCTCAGTTTGTACTGAAAATACATACATACTGAGGCAACATGGAAGGGGTCATTCCTTTGTGAACCAGATTCCTGATCTGGAAAGTGATAAATATTACCTCCAACATGTGTGGTAAGTTGCACTGGTAAAATACTGAGATCCATGGCTGAAAGGTACTCTATGGGAAAAGTATGAATAGCAGCAAATAATTTCTACAGCGGTTTCACTTGAAACAGTGATGGCTTGTTTTTACACAGTAGATGCTACATATTTGGTTTCCTCTGAGAATCAAAGGTTTCTCAATTTGTGTGTGCATGTATGATGCAGATGATACCAAAAAAAGCATCACAATCTTGTGTAAGAGATGGGGAGACATCAAAAGTTTTGCAACAGATTTGGGCTGTGATTTCATGTTTTGCAGAGCATCATCCAGCAGTACTTAAAAAATGACCCTCCTCCCTAGTTGTGTTGGCACAAGTGTTTATGCAGTTGCATAGCAAATGAAACTAGAAAACTAATTCCGATTACAACTAATCCTCTTATTGCCTAGAAATTTTTTTAATTGCAGAAGTACTGCTTGCTTATGCAGGCCTAAATGATACTTTAAACTATGGTGTTTCTAATTGGACTACGGTTATATAAACTTGTAGCACAGCTGGGAACAGATTGTATAATGATGATCAATATGGAAAAAACTAATCATAACTGCGGTCAGAATCTAAGTTTTGACTAAACAATCCTTGATCTTTGAAGGACAGTCGATTGACAGTACTTTAAAATACAATTAGGCATGATATGATAGTATTTTAATCTCAAACACTAAATATGCATTTTCTAATTGCCTTTTAAAGTTTTTACATAAATTTGTAAAAATAGAACCTGAAGCAGGAACTAGATAGATAGAATTATAAAATAGCTCTTTAAAGACATACCTGGATTTTACACTCAAAACAATATTTATTTCCTGACTCGAAACTTGCAGTTGGTGAAGAAAATTAATAATATAGTCAAAATGTTCAAACTCAAGGAACATACCAGCATCAGTGAGCTGTAATATCAAACAGGGAAGACAAAAGTAAGCATACAAAAAATTGTGATCGCTTACATATTTCCAGAAGCAAGCGGTGAACAACAGTGGGAAAACCACGTCACAATGAATCTCAGTCAAAAAATAAGGGATAAGTGGAAACGTGTACCACAAATTCAGCAAGTCACAATATAACTTTTTAAAAGTAGTACTGAAATAATATTAAAGTGGTAAGTTTGAGTTTTAAAACAGGCAAGGTATTTCAGAAATTCCAACAAGCAGCAGTAGTACAATCAAACTCATACCTTACAAAAGGTACTGATTAACGTAGGCACAGCGTCTCTTATATTGAAAGAAGCCACATGCTCAAAGACTTTCAGCAGAACATCTACAGCTGGCTAATTTAGACAGAAAAGCACAATCAGTTTTGCAACTCTGTTCAATTAGACAGATTAAGAGTTTTTATAATAGGAAGTTTTGAATTGCTCTTTTTTCCTCCCAAGATTTGAGTACCAGAGTAAAATCAAACTTACTAGTACAAATGGCATAGTACTAAAAAAAACTAAGAAACTATGATCAAAGATTTAAAAAATATTACAAGGTCACCTACCAGTGTATTGATTTGTACAGTTACATTCAATATTTGAAATACTTCCCGCAACAAACACTTCTCGAGCAAAGAAATTAGAAGATCATTCAGCACTTGAGAAGCAAAATCCACACCAGGAGTAACTTCTCTGTAATATTTCACAAATATTTGGACTGAAAAAGCAATTATGTTATTTCACTTTGGGGTAACTGATGCTAATTATTTAGACAAGTTATTTCCTTAAATTTTAAATGCAGTGTAACAACCCTTAATTATCCAGAACATTATGGGACAGGGATATGGAGAAAAATGGCTGAAAGCATTCAGTTTGAATACAGTGTTGACCTTACTAGACCCAGACTGACTATTCTGAAATATCTCATGTCATTGAGCGGAACACCAGAAGCCCCATAGGTTTCAAGAAAGTTTAGTTGATTTGGTGCAGCACAAGAAAAATGCACAAAACCAGGTTAGATTTGGTAAGCGGATCAAGGTAGTACAGCCTTTCCAGACATGAAGCTCTAGGAAGTGAAATGAAGCGTTATCATGGTGGATGGTCTTACAACCTGTTCCAGTGCTAGCCTTGATAGACACGTACTGTAGCCTGCTGGTACCCAGTGTTATCTGGATTACGGTGCTCAGTATTTCCGCATGGGAACATTACTACACAGGGTGCACATTCACATTGTGCTACACTCTAAAAAGCTTTCAAAAACTTAAGACTGCTCAAGACAGGTACAAAAAGAATATTTGCCCAGAGCTCTTCCTAACTGAACTCAAAAGCTCAGATGGATCTGAATCAACTACAGTCCCTAAAAAGTGTTTATCATAATTGTTTGTATATATGGTAATGTGAAAGGATTAAACTAACGCTGTTTGGGTGCTGTAACAGCACTTCATTTCAAGACCTTAATTCTAAAGTTTTTGGATTTGTGATGTTTGGCCAATGTTCAAAACTGCCTTAACAAAATTTTGGTTCTGTTAAACCTCCCCCCTGCCCCAGGTACTCATTTCTACTCTCAAATCTAGTTGCATTCAGGCTAAGTTCCTTTTCCGTGGAAGTAAGATTTATAACAACCTCCTGAGATAACTGCATATCTAAATACCCAGCCTCAATGGGAAACTGGAACATAAAAACTCATGGATTGTATGTATTCCTTCGAAATCAGAACTTATTTACTGTTGAAGTAGCACCCATTTCTCTCCTGACAGCCTATTTAATTTGCTTTAAAGCAGCTAAGTATCTAAAATACATCAAAAGCTACTACTGTATCATACCTGCACGTTTTAGAAGGCCTGACTCTTTGGTACTAATGTATGTCCTAAGTATTGCCATGCAAATCTAGAAAAAGAGAAAAAAATCCATAGTAAAATGTTACCTCAGTTTATGTCAACCAAAAGAACTATCCACAAACATGAGTTCTATAAGGAAAAGAGCTTTACATTGCTTCTGTTTAATCCATACATACCGACAAACGGTGTAAGAAGCTAATTGGGACTCTAGGCAAAGGCACTGTGAAAAGGACAGCAAATGAATATAAACATAATGTAGATTAAATGTTTGGGAAAGGAGCTGCTGGGACCAGAACTGCAGGCATGTGTGTGTATATACTCATAGAAAAAAAGAATTTGAAAACAGTTACTTCAGAATTAGTGTAAATGTGGCAGACTGTAAACAAAGGGAAGTAAAACAGTGAAAGTGAAAACATGATAAATAAAAATTATAGGAATGTACCAACTAAGAAGTCAAAAAATCATCTAGAAATGAAATTGGTAGCATGGACTGTCACAAAGAATCCCTCATAAGGACATAGAAGAAAAAACTCAGAATTAACTCCATTTAACACCAGGCCCACTTGATTAAAAAAAAAATCCACACCTAGATATCTTAATATGTTATTTGGTATTGGAACATTCTTGTCTTAATATCTTAAGCTGTCAGCTTTGTGATACTTACACATTTTGATCCATCTCTGCTGATGAAGGAATAAAGACTACTGAGATTAAATCTTAGCATTCCAAGTTAGGAAAAAAACACCCACCATTTCAGATACCCCTTCTCACTTCTGGAACATTTACTGTCTTTCTGCACACAATGTAAATGGGTCATATTTAATACTATTTTGTGAAATAATGAAAGATCCAGAGACAGAAAATGCCCTAAATTAGCAGTCATATTATTACAGAATTGAGTCAAATTATTTTTACATGCAACTTTAAAATTAGACAGGACCCACTCATGAAGTTTGTTATACAGCAAATGAATTATCATCAAAGCAGAAGACACTACTTTGTGGCCAAGACATCTTTCTTTTTTAAAAACCATTAACCTGTTCAGATCATCAAGTCAAAGAACACTAAAAATGTACATGTAAGTATGTTGAATATAAATAAAGCTTGTTGTTTTTATTTTGAGACGGTGTGCTAATGTTGTTTAACTATAGTCTAAGATAGACCTTTCAGAAAATCATGTAGAATCTTTGAACATTAATATACATGCAGTGTCACTTGGCAAAGCCTTAATTCATATAATCCAAATCTACAATCCCAGGTGGTTGAGGGCATTTCCAAAACAAACTTTAGCACATGCTTACAGTATGTAAATGAGTTTGCTTTCTTTTGGAATCTGTTTTCCTCCTTCTTTGGACTGACTCCCAGAAAAAGCCAAGATTGCATCTGGAGCGCTGACTGTTCCAAGTATTAGTGAAATTGCTTGGAAAATCCACTTGTAGTAGTATTTAATCATGGGACATTACATTACTTTCATAAAAGAAATTAAATGTGTTATTCATTTACAGCTTCTAGGAGGCTTCAAATGATTGAGTTGTTTCAATTTCAAAAGGTGTAACTGAACCTACAGACCATGTAAAAATGTGAGAATCTCTAAATTTTGAGTTAACCATAACAGATTTTGAATAAAGGTACATGAAAGAGACAATTCCCATTTTCAAAAGGTAGTATAGATCACACTATTCTGTCACCTATTAATTGATTCCACAACTCATTTAACAAAAATCATAACAAAGGGCTGTGTATCTTATACAACCAACCAACTGCCCAATAAAACACAGTTCTACTACCGTAACACAGAGGTGCTTAAATCAGAAGAACAAACACCAGAATTTAAGAAATCCTTCAGCATCTCCCAGTCAGTGTGCACTCTGATGTTGAAGAAGTGAGAAAACCCCACGCTGCAGAATTTCGCTCAGTGAGATCAAAACCAGGACCCTTTTTACAAGAGCCTGTTTACGAACCCCCTGGCATCCTTGAATGTTTATGAATCCCATGGCCACCCATATTAAAAGTTGGTTGAGACTGACCAACAGGTTCAAAAATTATTTAAGGTGGTTAAAGACAGTAATAAAAGAACAGTGCAACTTCAAGTCTCATTTCTTTAGGAAGCCAGATTAAAAAAAAGAAAACACACAAAACCACAACAGAAGCATACACCCAAGGCACTGAAGCTGCAAGATGACATTAATGAACACAGGAATCTTCCTATTTTATATCCTGTTTGTTTTCAGTTAGAGGTTCATAGGATCAAAAAAAAAAGAGAGTAACAAGTCACAAGAAGTAAACACCTCTTTAGTGGATACGAGTCCAAAAAAGTTAATGAGTAAGGTGCACAAAGCTAAAATAAAATTAGACAGAGAAATATCGTTTCCATAAAGACATGTTTTCGAACCTCTTATTTAACTGTGCAATTATTATCTATGCTACAGTCTGAAGTGTCATTCAAGCCAAACTGAATGTCCTGTAATTTCAATTTATGCCCACTCTCTCTTGTCCTTTCACTGGGCGCCACTAAGAAGAGTCCAGCTTCATCTTCTTAACCCCCCCCTCCCATCAGGTACTGGTACACATTGTTAGGATCCCTCCTCCCCCCCTTTAAAAACTTAGGGGAGTATTTAAAATACAGTCTTAATAGTTTTGTTTACTTTGCCTAATACAAAAGAAATTTTACTGTTTGAAATTAAAATCACCTTTTAAAAAAAATAAAAACTGGTAACTTGTAGAACTTGCTGAGCTCAAGAGCACGCCAATTTTCAAAACATATGATGTTTTTATGAATTAAATCACTCTGTGTTCTGTGAACAACAACTGTGAAGAGTGTTAAATCCTAGTAAGTTATGCCTTAAAGCATCAACCAGTTACTTAATGAAAAGGAAGGAATATCTATTATGGGGAAAGGTATTTCTCTTCAAAAACTTTGGTAACAATCATCACTGGAAACATAGTACTAAGCAAGTGGACTACCCGTCTGTGTAACAGTTCCTAAAGAGATTTATTTCCCCTGTATTTGACTAGATGACTGTTGCTGCTTTACCTGTTTTCCATTTATGTACTTTGGTGCCACCATGAGGTGCTTAGCCTATTATCATTTTTAAATGGACAGTTCTAAATAAATAAATAAATACACCAGCAAACAAAACCCAGAGTATAATTCCAGACTACCAAGGAAGTTAGGCTAGGTTTGCTGGGCAGAACAGTAAGTGTGCTGGAGTGCTGCACCACAGGTAAAATCAAATGGAATGGATTTTTAAAAGTTTTAGGCAAATAATTTAATTCTTTAATGCATCTATATATAATGAAGCTCTACAAACCATGATAATTCATACAAACTAGCTGAAAAATACTGATATTCACTACAGCCTGCCAAAGATATTTCAAAATTGAGGAAAAGTGAAAACATCCCATACAAAATTGCTCTCAAATAATCTGAGTACTTTCAAATGGATTACAAAGCATTAGGAAAAAAAAGCAACAGCTCATTTTGAGACATAAAAAAGATAAGAGGAAACATTAAGAAAAATAAAATCAAATTACAGTGATGTAGTTTAAAAATTGTGACACAGTATATATAAGACATCAAGGAGACGGTAAGCTCCTTTTGATGCTACCTTTTTTTTCCCCTAAGTATTTATGTCTAACAGGTTCACCGTAAGTTCTTTTTCACATTTTGATTTTAATTTCTTACTCACTGACACCAATAATAAAATTGTACTCATACCAATAAGATGGTAGATAAGAAATAAATCTTGTAAGACCTGATGAGAACAAGTTTAGGCATTTGTCTTTGTTTAATTGTTTTAATGTTCTTTTTTTGCTTCCAAATGACTTAGAGAACCACCTAGGTCTTGGTTTCATATAGCCAATTCCAAAATCTTATTACATGACAGCACAATTAGCTTGCCTTTCACACTTCTTGGTAATGTTACTGATGGTAATTTCCTTGTTAAATGGTTTGAAAACACATCTACTTTGCCCACCGATGGAAAAGTACTTTTTTTTTGCAAATATGAGAATTGTTGCTCCATTTAAGGAGATTACAGCACCTTTAAACAAACATGCCCCTGTTGCATAAAACTTGCAGAAAGTAATATACTGGCTTTTGACTTTAAGAATACATACAAAGTCTGGGTTTGCTTACAGGTCTCCAATACTTGGGATAGAAATGTCTCAGAATCTCCCCGTTCTGCTACTCTATACAGCCTAATTCTTGCTCTTTTGCTGATGTCTGTTCTCTTTAACAAAGTCTACTAGTTAAAAATTCTACCATTTTTTTTAAAGAACTTTAAAAAACCTTGAGGGGAAGAATTTCTGTACATTTTATTGATCCATCAATCTCTGCTCCATTCAAAACTCTGAACTCTGAGATGGTGGAGTTCAGGATTCTGTGTGCAAGAAGTAGGATTACAACCCTGGACTTTAGGAGAGCTAACGTCGGCCTCTTCAAAGACTTACTTGGAGAAATCCCACGGGCAAAGGCTCTAGAAGGAAGGGGGGTGCATGAGAGCTGGTTAATATTCAAGCACCACTTCCTCCAAGTTCAAGACCTGTGCATCCCCAGGAGCAAGAAATCAGGCAGAAGAGGCAGGAGACCTGCATGGATGAGCAAGGAGCTTCCGGAAAAACTCAGATGGAAGGAGGAAGTTTACAGAACGTGGAAAAAAGGACTGGCCACTTGGAAGGAGTATAGGAACAATGAGGAAGGCTAAGGCCCACTTGGAATTAAACCTGGCAAAGGATGTTAATGACAATAAGAAGGGCTTCTTCAAGTACATCAGTAGCAAAGGGAAGACTCAGGAAAATGTGGGCCTGCTGCTGAATGAGGTAGGTGCCCTGGTGACAGAGGATGCAGAGATGGTGGAATTACTGAATGCCTTCTTTGCTTCAAACCCTGTAAGTATGAGAGAGAGTCTGGAGAAAGGAAGACTCTCCCTTGATTGAAGAGGATTGGGTTAGAGATCATGTAGGTGAACATGACACCCACAAATCCATACGACGTGATGTGTTGTGGGAGCTGGCAGATGTTATTGAGAAGCTGCTCTCCACCATCTTTGAAAGGTCATGGAGAAGAGGAGAGGTGCCTGAGGACTGGAGGAAAGCTAATGTCATGCCAGTCTTCAAAAAGGTCAAGAAGGGGGACATGGGAAACTACAGGTCAGTCAGCCTCACCTCTATCCCTGGAAAGGTGATGAAACAGCTCATCCTGGATGTCATTGCTAAGCATGTAGAGGAAAAGGTTATTGGGAGTGGTCAACATGGATTCACCAAGGAAATCATATTGACCAATCTGATAGCCTTCTATGAAGGCATGACCGGCTGGGTGGATGAGGGGAGAGTAGTGGATGTTGTCTACCTCAACTTCAGCAAGGCTTTTGACACTGTCTCCCATAACATTGGCATAGGAAGTGTGGTTAGATGAGTGGACAGTGAGGTGATTTGAGGACTGGCTGAATGACGGAGCTCAGAGGGTTATGATCAGTGGCGCAGAGTCCAGTTGGAGGCCTGTAACTAGCTGTGTTCCCCAGGAGTCAGTATTGGGTCTGGTTTTGTTCAACATATTCATCAACAACCTGGATGAGGGGACAGAGTGTACCCTCAGCAAGTTTGCTGATGACATAAAACTGGGAGGAGTGGCTGCCACACCAGAAGACTGTGCTGCCTTACAGTGAGACCTGGACAGGCTAAAGAGTTGGGCTGAGAGGAACCTGATGAAGTTCAACAAGAGGGCAAGTGTAGGGTCCTGCACCTAGGGAGGATTAACCCCATGCACTGGTACAGGTTAGGGGTTGACCTGCTGGAAAGCAGCTCTGCAGAGAGGACCTGGGAGTCCCGGAGGACAAGAAGTTGACCATGAGCCAGCAATGTGCCCTTGTGGCCAAGAGGACCAATGGTATCCTGGGGTGCATTAAAAAGAGTGCGGCCAGCAAGTTGAGGGAGGTCATCTGACCCCTCTACTCTGCCCTGGTGAGGCCACATCTGGAGTACTGTATCCAGTTCTGGGCTCCCCAGTTCAAGAAAGACAGGGAACTACTAGAGTCCAGTGAAGGGCTACAAAGATGATCAAGGGAATGCAGCACCTCTGTTATGAGGAAAGACTGAGAGACCTGGGTCTGTTTAGCCTGGAGAAGAGAAGACCGAGATCTCATCAATGCTTATACATATCTAAAGGGCAGGTGTCAAGAGGATGGGGCCAGATTCTTTCCAGTGGAGCCCAGTGACAGGACAAGGGGCAACAGGCACAAACTAGAACACAGGAAATTCCATCTCAACATGAGGAAAAACTGCTTTACTTTGAGGGTGGGAAAGCACTGGCACGAGGCTGCCCAGAGAGGTTGTGGAGTCTCCTTCTCTGGAGATACTCAAAACCTGCCTGGATGCATTCCTGTCCAACCTGCTCTAGGTGAACCTGCTTTGGTAGGGGGGTTGGACTAGATGATCTCCGATGGTCCCTTCCAACCCTTACCATTCTGTGATTATATGAAATTTACTCCCTTTCCATATATAAATGAACAAAGGAGAGGTTGTTTTGTATTTAAAAAGTGTTCACGCTTACAATCTGTTCCTTTCTTCAACAAATCTCTTTACCTTTTCATCCCCTTGTTCAGGAACATGCCAAAACCAACATTTTGCTCTTTCACACCCACGCAAAGTCATGAAGTATAATCTGCAATATTTACGGGGCAATTCAATCATCTCGAGGATCTGCTGGACTGAATGAGAAGCCTAAAACAAAATAAAATAAAAACAAGCAGAAAAATCTACCAGATAGTATTTTTGAAAGCAAACATGCTGATTTTTTTGTGAATTTCAAAATACCTACAAATTATAAACAAAAGCAAAAAATATGTGATCTACAATGAAACCTTTGGAACAACCCTCATCTCTACATTATATTTGCAGCATTTCAAAGCAGACCAGATCAATCCCTTGTCATGTCCTGTTAATGTCTAACACAACAAAAATCTGTCTTGAAGACCACAGAATGCAAGAACTGCTAAATGAGACGGACAATGAGTAGAGAGGAGGAAGAAAGGTGACAAACTCCTGCATGGCTCTGGGTAACAGTCTGGGAATTCTGGGACATCAATTTCCTTTACCCTTTTTTAGTGCCCAGCATAATGGATAATGTAGTCTGTCTTAAACATGTGAAACCTTGCCTCCTTTTCAGTTTTACCAAAACAATAAAGCAAAAAGCATTATTTGATTTTGCTTAAGCTGGAAATAGAAATCAACAAAGCTCCACTGTGAGTAGCTATCCCCTCATTATTGATTTTGTTCTCATAAATTGTATTTGCTCAGTGTTAATATCTTCAGAGGAGTAGAAACATAAACATACATAGATTGATTATTTTTTACTATATATACGTAGAGTTGTCTGAATATCCATAACAAAATGAGTGCCAAAGGATCAGTAATCATTAAGGATTTAACAACTCACAACTGCATTTTTTTCCATCTTCCATGGCTCCAAATCTCCATAATTTTGCAATGGCAGTAAAGGACTTTTTTCTGAAAATCTGTAATCTAAAAATTAGGATGAGGGCAATAAATGGAACATGCAATAAAACGAATCATACTGAAATCGCTCTCATTTATCTTATTTTCCTTTATATTTATAGTTCCTTCAAGTCACAGCAATGATTAATGAAAATTTGATTAATATAATATAAAGCCAGTAATTTAAGTTACAGTTTTCTTAATTATCCTAAGACTCAGACTTTACACAAACTTCAAGAGTAAGCACATTTAAATTAAAAACTTCATTACTTTATCCAAGGTTTCTAATCTAACTTACAGAGATAAGAAAAGAAATGGAATAAAAATATCCAAAAGTTTTTATTTCAAAAGGAACCCCCCCGCACACTTTATCAGTAATCTTTGCATTCCCACATCACTATGCATAAATTTAAACTATTTTTCCAGAATTGAAATAAAACCTTTCATACCCAATGATTTAAGCAGTGCAGTATCAAGCTTAAGCCTAATGTCAGTTACTGGTTTCTTAACCAGGAAACTTGGTTTTAGAACTTTAATTATTATTGATAACAGATTTCTTTCTCTGAAAAATGAATAATGTTAATGGAAGATAAAAGTTCAAATTTTCAACTCCATAAAGAATGGCAGTATAATTTGAGACTAAGCAAGAAACTCTGCCACTGATGTCAATTCAGGAGACCCATGTTTATGAAGATCCATATTAACTAATAATTCTAAAAACATTAATTCCCAAAACAGCTGTTGCAAAGAAACAGAATGCAGTATCTATCCATAAGTAATCAACTCCTGTTTTTCTCTACCATGTACGACAAATGAAACTACACATTTATGTATGGCTAAATGTTAGAGTTGTTATGTGCAGAGAAAAGAGAAGGAAACTTTGACTACAGTTCCATTACGCTATGATTTCTCTGGTGGCAGAGACACTTAAGACACCATCCCAGGTGTGAAATATACCAGGTCAAAATGAAGTGCTGCTTATTAAATCTAGATAATTTCCTTGATCCAATCTAGTGAATACCTCACAAACATTTGAACTGGCATAAACAACAAGTTCTGACCTCCGGCAAGGTGGGAAAATCCCTTATCCAAGTTTTGCTGACAGATAACAACCAAGAAAATCTGCAGTCACATTCTCTGACCACAAATAAAGAAAAAAAAATTACTTGCTAATAACATGGCTCAAACACAACACATCAAAATACTAAGACTGCAGGCATTGTTGTACCAGTAAAGTATCTGAGAACCATAAATACCAGGACAGAATGATTGCTATTTGACCCTATCAAACAGGATTCTGCTAAAAAACCCAACCCAACAAACCTCACTAACCTATCATATGAGAGCTTGCATTTTTGCTTCTGTGTATGCAAACTAAAACAGATAGCAGCTAATGCCTTCAGGAATTGAAGAAATTCCTTAAGATTTAGTATGTAAATAAAACACATGCAAAAATAAATTCTGGAGGGTGAACCAATGCAGTATACGATACCATTTGTCCTGGGTTTCATCGCTGTAGCTTCACTGAAGACATTTACATTTGGGGCAGGTAATGGAAATCCTGATAGCAATTCACAGTTCACAAGATTTTTGTATTTACAGTCACTGTTGAATATTAAAAAAACAAAAACTTATTCAACCATATCAAGCAGATGCTTCTCCCATACGCTAAACACCTAAAAATGGGGATTAAGGGTATAAAAGATGAGAATTTCTTCAACAACTTATACAACACTTAAAAACTTGCTGTAAATTTAAATAGCTAGCAGTCCCAACAACTTTACTTTCATACCCTCATTGCCTGGTCCAATCTGATTACGATCTTAGCTGAGATTATTCTGTTCTAAAGTGTAAGTACATGAAATACAATAATTAAGTAGAAAAGGAACCCGTGAACCTCTTCTGTTTTTTTTCACTATACTGACACGAAGACCGAGACGATTTCTGTCACCTCTGAAGAAGCACCTACTTTTCAGTAGTCTGTTATGTAATATCTGCCAAAGAAGTAATCCACAAAGCTTTTGAAATTACATTTGAAGAGCCCACTGTTTTCTTTCCTAATAACTGCCTCTACCCAGCAGAAGATTTAGGCAATTTCAAAGGGATCTTCAATTAAAGACACTTCTGCCTTTAACTATTTCCAAATATGTACATTCCAGGTACTTAAACTACTAAAATGTGATGTTTTCCAAAATAAGCTACAAATATCAGTAGCAAAATACTTCTGTAATCTCTTTCTTATTTGTAAATAAAGCCACAGAAAAAAATAATCCCGTTTCATGAGCTTTTCCTTCCCTTCCCACTTCAATTAAGAATCTAGGTTCAGTACAAAGGACATTTCAGCCTGCTTGTGGTTTGGAGACAGAAATAGACTTGATATCCCCTATAAGGGGCACATTCTAGCTATTTAATAGTTCTCATAGCCAGGATAATTCAAGTCTTTCCTAAATTGCAGGCTGTTTTTAATATAGTTTGAAATAAAAATGCTATGGCAGAGAAGAATAAATTCTATCTAATAAACCCAAATTCTTCAATATCAATATTTATTTTTATTCTAGTCCATGTATTGTATTGGTCCCCAGAGGAAAAAAATCTGCAGATCTAGGTACTCAGAATTTTCAAGTTACCATGTAAAATTTTTTTATGCTTCCTTGTGATGCTGGCCTCAGATCTGACACAACAGGATTTTCATAGCAGCTTACCTGCAGGACAACAATCTCAGCTCTCTTTTTAATCTAGACATGAAACTACACACAATTTTGCCAGGAACTGTGAACTATATAGCTCTACAATCAATTTATTTTTTTAAGTAACAACATCACTAGAAGTAGAGTTTGCTAAATAACAACAGTAACTATGTTTTCTTCTAGATGAAACTTTGCAATGGTGACGTTTTTGAGTAAAACTAGAGAGAATAGCTTGACTTCAAATGAAGGAATAAATGCCTCTTCTCTAACCGCAGAGAGTGCTGCATTTCAGCTAAGGAAGTAATGCAGTATCACTTGCACAAACATATTTTATCCAGCATAATCTACTTATTCTATAGCATGATGAACTATTTATGCTACTAAGATAAATTTTAACAGGTATTTTACCAGAAGGAGGATCTTGGACCTCTCTAGTGGATTAATGAAAAGATGCAATATTCCATTTAATGGAATTCTGGTACACTTCAAGTCTGTCACAGAACTGTGTCTGATGCTGGAAAAAAGCAATACCCTCTTCTATGACAGCTAAGGTTTCTTGATTATTGTGAAAATGACTCTGTTATTTCTCTTCTAATTACTTCAGCATTCCATCAGTTAAGTACCATTTTTCTACAAAGTCTTATTCTGCTTCATTTTTGGGCTGAGTTTGAATGAAAGTTTCTTAGTCTGACACTTGGTATGTATAATAAACACTGTAAGCAAAGCTTGAAGCTAGCAGAACAGTAAAACACGTGCTTAACTCCACATGCCAAGTTTTTAAGTGCCTTTTTCTATTGCTGTTCAAGTATTTGTCAGCCTGGATTTGAATGAGATCTTTCAATTCTTTCATCAGTTTAGAAAGTCCCAAGAGGCAGAAAAGAAAGCTGAAAGTTTCACAGATTTGTTTTTTTTTAAAAGTTCTAAAGTGCTATTGTGGCTGGAAATGTATCTTATGCTATACCCACACTGAGATGCCAAGGAGAGACACTGGCATAAAGTGGATATACTTTGTCACCAGCCAGAGGACAAAGTAACCTCTATTGTCCTGTCAGGCAATGACTACACTTGGCTTGTACCTTCCACAGGGAAATTATATTATTTCACATATTTATTTTCTTCATCACAGTCAGAACAACATCGAAAAACTGAGCTAAAATGCTGACAGTGTTTCAGCAAGACATCACATTTCATTTGTACAGTAACTGGGGAACATCACAGGTTACATGAAGGACACAGTATATATACCTTTTTTCAGCTTCACCCTTCTTTTCTTGTTTAACATCAGGTACTCCATCTGCAAACCTGAACTGTGAAGATATTTCAAATGTACTTTCGGATACAGCAAAGTACTACTTTTATGCTTTACACTACAGACTTAAAATTGTTGGTGATGGTTGGAAGGTGTGATGAAATAGTCTTGACTGTAAAAACTGTAATTTGGACTGTACGGTTACTCTTAGACCATCTTTTTAAATGGACACACTGCCATTATACTCTGTGATCTTTAAAATTGTGATTTTAATTGGAAAAAAGGTGACATGATTATCTTCACTACTCTTTGCTCCCACTAACAATCCCAGCAATTTTTAGGCCACTGCCCAGTTTCAACTGCACCTGACACATGCGTAGAAACCCACAAAAGACATTCCATCATTTAATGAAAATGTAAAGCTGTACTGAGGAGAAATCAGCTTTTGCTCAGTTGTGGACCATGGTGTGTAAGTAAAAAAGTCCCCAAAGATACGGAGAAAAAAAGACAGCGCCTAACATATTTAGGGGTGAGAATCTGAAAGGACTGATATAGAACAAAGTCATAGAATCCTGGTTTTGTTTTGTTCATTATTCATGTCCAATTATTAAATTGTTTCACATTATAAAACAAATTCACAACAGCCAAAGAATTAGACATGGACATGCCCTCACTGGATTTCCAAAATTCGTTTTACTAGCTCCCCAATTATTTTTAGGGTTTTTTCCATGGTTAGTTTTTGTCCTTCTCGCAGCATTATTAGTTGGAAAAGACATTAAAAAAAAAAAAAAGCCAACACAAAAAATGACCCCAAACGGTAGAATACTTGCAACAAGTGTTCTGCTATTCCACTCCCTCTCCAGGCCGACACAGCTAGTTTTCCATCCAGATACAGCAGTAAGTTTAGGGCTGTGGCATGTATTTGGTGGCTTAAGTTTGGTTAAGTTTGAGGTTTGAGTGAGATTAGTTGTACATATTTATTGTTGTCCAACACAGCACAGAACAGCAAACATTAGGACACTGATTTCATAAAGCCACAACACTACAAAGTAGCCCAACTGGGACTGACCTGGCAATACTGCAACAAGTACTACACCTCCAGTAACCTATACTATTTGACAGACCCTTTTACCCTGCCTTACAGGTCAGGGACAAAAATGGCACAGTGGTGGAAAATGGTAAGCTGCTATGTCTGAGTGGCAGTGAGATGTAAATTCCAATTCATTATCAAAGAAGTAAATTGTATAGAACTTCAGCAAGTCTTAAAAGACCTAGACTCATTATCTAGGGAATGAGGACAGAGAGAGTAGAAAGGTCAGATAAAGTCAGTGAGCAAGAAAATGGCTTAACGTTCCCTCTGAACCGTCATGAAGTCAGTATGTTAATGTAATGGCCCTTCTGCCCAAGTAATGAGCCACAAAATTATTCTCTTTGGACGCGTGATGGCTGTGCAGCTGATGCAACAGTAGCTTGTTTCATTTCAAATTTGAAGATGAATTATTAGTGACAAATTATAAAACATGTTCTGTCAAGCAAAACTTACATTGTCAATAGCACAGTAATCTACGAAACACTAATATTCTTTTTTATTACAGGAAATTAAAAATGTTGTTGATAAAACAGCACCGGTAATTAAAATAATCCAATTACATGGACTATAATTTTTTTTAAACTATTTAGTGACAGAAAGCATGATTTCTCAGTACCTTTTCATCCACGTCATAACTCTTCAGAAGTTCATCTAGTTCTCTCATTTGCCCATCTTCAAGAAAGCCCTCAGTAACACCTCCCAAAGGACTGCTTCCTCTAGAGGAGTTGTGGGTTTTAATATCTGTAGCTGAAAATGTATAAACACATTACTTTACGCGTTTCCCATGCTAAAAGACAATAGAGCTTTTATTTCCTAAATATTATGAAGCCTTAATACTAATGACATTTAAGAACTCCTAGGACTCCCTAAATATGAAATTTATATGTAAAATTACTTCACCTTTAAAACATGAACTATTTCAAATAAGTATTAAACTGAATCTGCAATTAAAATTCTATCCAAGCTATATGTTCTTTAATAGTCCCTGTAGAACAGTACAACAGTTTTATTTATATAATACTGAATTCAATAATTTAGAAATTCAGTTAAGCTTTGTTATTAAAACACAGCCAAGGATAGCTATGGTAATTTGCTAAGCAAATAAAGACTTTGTCTTTGCTGGAGAAGGGGATATGCTAATTGTAATGACACAATGCAACCCTGAACTAAATATAGATAGCTCTGAGAAACTCCAAATTCCTGTAATACAGTAAACTCAATGAGAATCCAGTGTCAGGAAATTTCAGCACCTTTTGCAGATGCCACAGGAAATGAACAGAACACCTGACTGCAGCTTTCTGAAGCAGCTGTTTATGTACAACAGAAGAGTTCTACATAGAAAAGAAATTCACTATTTCATTAGAGCACATGAATGAATTTCAACTGCACTGCGTTGTCCAGATACAGGAAGAAAGGATCAGATTATTATTGGAAAGGCTTTTATCTTCTAGTCACTGGTCTCTGTATGATCATCAGTACAAGACACATCTGCGTGAAGACAATGTACATAAGATTTCCACCTGAAAGATGAAGAGGATTGATGTCATCCAGAATACATTAGCTGTAGTATTTGTTGCCCTTCTTAGACTGTGAAGCCACTGAGACAAACAGCCATGAACTCACTATGTGACACAAGACACCAAAGCAGTAACAGTATTTCTAAATAAATACATAAATTGTCAGTAATTACCAAAGCCATGCACCTTTCTTTTGTTCTGTAGAGGTCTTTTTAAAAAAAGTCATACATCAAACATAAGTTACCACATGCATATTAATGTAAGAGTGTGATGTGATCCGAAGCTTCTCAGATCTGGGAAGAAGGACCTACTTAAACCTTTTTCTTTATTTGAAGCACCAGAAAAAAGACTTAAAGACTCTAAACCTCAAACTTGGTTAGAACATGAAAGAAACCAACAAACAGTCTAAGAAAATGCAGAAGTTACTAAATAATATAGGACTTGCTCTCAGGTTTGGTTTCAATCATCTCAGTACTGCAGATGCCAGGGCACAGGCCCCTTTGGCTCATTACATCACCAGAGGCCTAACTGTGTACTTTCTCCCTACTCCTCCTCAGGGAACTTGTGTCTATTTCTTGGTGTCCGACCTTTTAAACCCACGCTACCTTTTATTTTGCCTTCTAATCACTGAAGCCTGAAACTCTCTCTCCCCCGAATAGTTACTATTCACACCTTTTTCTCCAGAAGGCTGCATCTGCCCAAACCACTCACTCTTTCTACACGAACATAACACATGCATACGAAAAGCACAAGAGGTAGCATCACAGACACCTTTCCAGCCTGTAGCAAAATCAGTACATAATAGCAGAGCGCCAGACACCAGAAAGGGAAACACTGAGAACGTTCAAAACCAGGCTCAGCACTCTGTGCCGTCGCCATTGTCTCAGTAAAGGGCTTCTGTTCAAAGTCAAAATCCTGTTCCTCCAACCTATTTAACAGAACCTTTCACATCAGACATACCTTGCATAGCAGGTCTGTATGTGAGCTGTAGAAAACAAAACAAATCATATTCAAATGCTGGCTAATAGGACTGTTCTGCTTAAAATAGGAAGAAAAAACCACTAAGTCAGAAGTATACTTTCTAAAATGAATAAGCATCCTCAAAAACCGAAACAGTTTGTCAGAGGAATGTGCATAGCATACGCAACAAACAGAAGTACAACCTGGAAAAAAAACTATTATATAATTCTGTCTGTTGACCAATACAAGAGAACAATGGAGTGAGATTATGAGTGAGACTCCAAAGCAGCATCACAGTACTGAGTGTCTTACTATCATCTCATCAACTAACGGAATTCCTTGCCTGAAGTATCAAAGAGCTGTTAAACAAACTACAACCAAAACCCCAAAATGAACCCCAGTACTACAAACAGACAAGTACTACAGAGAAGTAGATGTTCCCTGTAAGGCTCAGGTTTGTACCATTTCAAAAGACATCCATTTTGTATGCATTGAGAAACAAGTCGCTTTTACAATAAAATATATTACCAAATTGGCAAGTCCTCTTTTTATGTGGAAAGTAGAAAACCTAGGTTTTGGCACTGAACATCTTTGTGGTTACTTTCTTCGCTTGATTACGCATCAAAAATCTCAAAAAACTCTTACCTTTTAGCACCCAATTACAGGAATTTTCAGTATCATTTGACATTCCAGATTCTTGTATGGTAACGTGTCTGTTTTGAACAGAAATTGTATTTAAGACTTCCATCTTGCACAAAAGCAGAATGAATCTAATGAGTTATGTAAAATTAAAGTTCTCAGTAATACTTTTAGCTATGAACAGAAACCTTATGTACAACACACTGTTGTAAGATTGTTCTTCACTCTCTCTTTTGGCTTTCTTATGTGCATCCTTATAGATATACAGATATATAGATATATGTCAAGTAAAACCAAGACATTTCAAATCCCAAAAGTTGTCAGTAAAAGCTCATTATCTCATTTCACCTTTGCCTAAAATACTGAGAAGGGAAACCTTCTCTGTATAACAAATTATGGAAATACTGTGCTAATGAGCCAATTCATCAGTTTCTAAAAAATGTGATTTATAGTCATTTCATATTCAAGGCAATTTGCATAACAATGAATCTCAAAGAGTAACAAAACCCTTTGTTCATAGAAAGATACTTACTCCACCTATTTTAAAGATAAGTTGGGAAAAAAATAAGTATTTCTCCTTAGAAAAGCTCACAAGGTAAAAATACATATTAAAATGTTATATATACAATATATTAAATAACAACATCGTCACAGATGGTGAATGACACCAAGTACAATGAGACCAAGCTGCCTAGCAAAATGGAACAATGAAAATTTGCAACAACCTAGTGGAAATGAAAAAGCTCCCTGGTATGCATAACTTGGAACTATACAAACATTCAGGCACAGATAATCTATGTATATACAGGAGATACATTAAGAAGCAGAGTTTAAGTTACAGCAAGTTTGCAGAGATGAGACGGATTTTTATTTGAGGCAAGCTCTCTGTAGGCTTATTTCCTCTCTTCCCCACATTTTATGTGAAATGTAAAGTTTAAGTGATTTTGCCTCCACCAACAATTGACTTTCTTTTTTGTAAAACTGCAGTGCAGACAGTTCCAGAAAGCTGTCTTCTTCATAAACATTGCTTAAAACTGAAAACATTTAACGGCATCAAGAGACCAAAATCTTCATTTACAGGTCAAAAGCCACTTCTAGATCTTTACCAGATTCTGCTAATTATGTAGTTGCAGAAGCACTTTACAAGTTCTTGTAAAGAAGGTGCCTAAAACAGATACAGAAAACTACATTTATTACAGTAATTGGCATTTGGTCACCAGTCTGACAAATCTAGCAGCGCTGACAGAACAAGAAGCAGCCAACACATTTTACAGATCTAGAAATGGAGACAGACTAGACCATGTCAGAATGTGGGATGCTCTTGCATGCTGCTGCTAAGTTTAAACAAATCTCTCTTTACAGCACAAGTTACACAAACCACAGTGCTCAGTTTGCTATTTGGCATATGAAAAAATGATTCAAGTTTAGGCTTTTTATTCAAAAGAAAAACAGTAAAATGCAGAAGTGTCCTAAAAGCAAGAATCTGAATCTTCTGAATCTTCCTGGATTAAGAGACAGGACCTGTTTGTCCTACTTACTCAGGGACATCAGTTCTGGGCATATGCACAAGCACAACAACAGTAGTTAGGAAACTTTTAAGTCAGAGAGGTTAGGTCCCTCCTTGGCTGCTGAGCGCTTTGTTAGTTTGCTTAAAAAAACCCAGAACACACAAGCCTTATTTGAATTTTGGACCTCAATCACTGTTGCAATCAGTATGTTCTGCTTTTGAAGGACACGTGCTGTCGTTATCTGAAATTTGGAAGCCAAAAATTATTATCCTTGAATTTTCAGAACTAAAAAAACCCTTCTGGCTTTTAAGGTGACAGTCAAAGACGACAGTCAAAGTGTTATTGGCTAAACATGTTTTTGTGTTTAAATTCACAGCTCAAACTAAACAGATCCACACTAAAGTTACACATCCACAGTGGCTAATAGCCGCCAGTGAACACTAGTCAGTTACTGAATTAACTGGTACATCCTTTACACAGTTTCAGTGATTTGGTTTCAATATAAAACTTGAATAAAAAGTATTACTTAATTATAGCAACTGTCGTTTTGACAAGCTGCTAGATCTCAGATTTTTGTGGTTGGAAGAACACCACAAATTAAGGCACCAATCATTTCCTATACAATTTAAATGCTGTTAAGCTCAAAAGTAACACTCAACAAATTTTAAAAAGCTTTTTAACAACCCAGCCTAGTTATAGCTAGCAGAAATACAGTTCCGTCTGCTCCGTACCAATGACAGACTAAAAGATCAGTACCCAGGAAGTAATGTACTAAAGTCCACCCCCATGCATATATGGCCTACAACAGTTTTAGCAAAGATCCAGATTCTTTCTATCATCATCTGCCTGCTCTTATTAATCTTAAGGGAAATAATAACAAAAGCTATGTAATGATACAGTTAAAGAAACCATTTAGCAACAACCACCATGTGCAGCCAGTAAGTGCTTGCATTGCTCTTCGACCTAAAATCACCTAGATTACATTCATCTAGAGTGTAATGGCTAACATTAACCAAATGTTAAACAAAACATACATATAAACTAATATGTATACAAGGTAGAGGTTGTTTCTAATAATGCAGTTCTGACTTGCTGTTCTATGTGGACAGATTGAAGTGGTGTTACAAAATAATAGTCCAACCAAGTAAAACTTGAGTATGCATAAAATAAGAAGCCAAACAAGAAAACATATGCAATAGTCTAGAATATCTTCAAAGAAAAAAAAAGGACATTAACAGAAACAATATTTTAGTTTAAAATATGTAGTGATGTAAGCATAATACTACCAGCCTAATCACTTTTTTTGGTTGGCCAAAAAAAGTTGAAGTCCCAGTTGTATCTGGTAAATACTAACAAAATAAAAAACAACAGTATGAACTGGCCATTCTTAGTATTATCTGGTGATTCCGTAAGCTACCTGATAAAACTGTGGTAAGGTCTATTGCCTTATTTTAATATTCTCATCTTAAGTTCATTAATATGTTCCTGGCTGTTACCAACTACAATTAGTCACTGCCTAATGAACTTCCCATCAAATTATAGAAGGTAAAAAAGCAAAACCAGACAATTTTGCCAGCTTCTTTAGCAAATTAATGGGATATTCTAAGAAATAGGAACCATGCAGTTTTATTTTCCTTGGCTGATGGCAAGCAAATTCAGCAGATACCAGGAAGAAAGCTGAAACAGACTTCAAACAAGTTCAGTTTTCATCTATCTAATGGTTGTGATGTTACTCTAATTCAATGTCACTACTAATTAAAGGGAATATTTGTGTTCCCTACAAAGTACTTACAAGATCCAATAAAATTTTCAGTTAGTATTTATATAAATGGCAAGCTTTGCACTTGCATACTGGTTATGGCAGTAAAGGGCTCAGAAGTGCTAGTCTTCCATTCTGTGCAACAGCTGTCTGGACAGAGTCAGTTGGAAACCATCTCTGAACAGCAGTTATTACCCAGGGGTAATATACAGTGAATACTCATTCTGTTATACAGTGTATATACCATATACACTGTGCACAAAATGAATACTCATTCTAATAAATTTACTGTGATACAGCCCAGCTTCTTCTTAAGAAATTAGATGCTCCTACTAAAGACTTGCCCTGTTCCTCAGAGGCTTGTTTTGGCAGAGGTTTTATTGTATTAAAATCTGAAAGTTTTACATTCTTATGTCTAAAAAATTTTTCAGCACCCCAGAGAAGGTTCCTTTCCTCTTCTGAACATGGGTTTAATGAAGGGGAAAGGATAAGGAGAGTAAAAAACAAAAGAATGCAGTTGGTACAATGTTGAAAATAATTAAAACATTATTTAAAATAAGGATAACATAAAGCCACCCAGAAAGAGCAGAGGAAGAAAATTAAAACACCCCTCCCAATAAAAAACCCTGATCTTCAGAGGAAAATCTTGTACTGTTTCTATCTAAGCTTTATGTTTTTCTTCATAAGATGAAAAAACTAATCTTAAACCTCATTTATTAAACACAAGAATCAAAGCTTTAAGAGAAAACAGACTAGAGAGTTGACAATTTAATCTATCCCACAAAGTCTACCACCTCTTTTACAAAAGTTCATTTATACTTTAAACTTCTCTTCCTCCTTCAATGGCTTTTATTATCATCCCAAAACCCAGAAAAACATTAATGCCTAATAATTTACATCAGGAACTTGCTGAATGAAGATGCAGGATCATAAACATCTATAACTTGTTAGCCAAAGTACAGATTTGAAAACTATTCTCATGTCTGGGGATAAGAGAAAAGCAGGGAAGGAGAGTGGCAGAATGGAATACTACTGTAGAGACAACCATTTACTCATACAGAACCAGCAGTAGAATAAGCTACACCTAGAAAGTAAAAAGCATTTCTAAGTATCACACCACTTTACAACTAAAAAACTACCCTCAAAAGAATATCTGCTATCTCAAATCAAGTTAAATATTTTAAAATATTGTTATTTATTAATAATATTACTCTTAATTAACTTGTTTATACTTTCATATTTCACTTCACTTGGTCTAAACCAATTCTTCAGGACTACATTTTCCTTTGATTCAGAGCTTATTCTAGCTCTTATGAAGAACAAATTAATTTATTTGCATTCAGAATACTGTCATACCTCAGTCAAATTTTGACATTTCAAATCAATTCAGAAATTAGTGAAATTCTGTAAGAAAGTCTGACCACTACAACCAAAGTATACTGATATGAGAACAAAGTACTTAGGATTATTGTAATAAAAAGAATTATATGCATACCTAAAATTATCATCTACCGAATCTCTATTTTCTGACATAGCAGGATACTCAGTCTTAAGATCCTGCTTATCATCTTTAATGCAGATGCTAGTACAGGATGCCTTCACAGGACCATTTTCATAGTCTGTAGGTGCAAGCTCCTCTTCATTATTGGTTCCAAAAAGGTCAGGGTCATCCTGAATTACATCAATGACAAGAACATCTTGTTTGTATGCTTCAAGAACATCTGGAAATTTTTGACTTTTGTGTTGTAAAAGATTCTCTCTTGATTTGCTACCATCATTTACTTCTAATGCAACAGGGTGTTCAACTGCATTCCAAGAATGATCAGGAAAATTAGATTTCAGTACACATTCAGTACCATGAATATCAAGCACAGATGACTCTAGCTGTCCATCCAGAAAAGGATGTGGATAAAAAGAAAAACGTTCAGGGAGCACAGACATCTCATTTGAAAGCTTTTCAGGGCTACCATGCTTAAGGTCCTTACTGTTGATCTCAACTGCTTTTTTCTTCATGGAAGCTGTAGATGGCGCGTCACTTGCAACAGAAAGAGGCTGCGGCTCAGAATTTACCAAAGAAGTCTCTTCACCTGTTTTCTGCCTTCTTGAAACACTAGTGCTTCCAAGAAGCTCTAGTGGACTGCAGGTTTTTCTTTCAAATGAATGGACAGATTCCAGTTTCCTGGATTCAAGTTTGTTTCTGCATAAAGGAATTTTGAATTTTGTCAGGTTTCCAGTGTTTAATACTTTCATTAGCTTTAAATCAGAAAATTTGTGGTTCACTACTGATGATTTGTCGCTGAAGTTTATTCTGCTTTTTTTAGCTGTAGGTGTACCATTCTGGACTGTCACACACAGGTTTCTTTTTGTTACAGCTCCTTTATTTTTATCTTTTTGTTTTGTTGTAAAACTCAAGGTTGCTTTAACTTCTTGCACATCATCATGGCTAAAAGCCACAACACTTCTATCCATATTAACTGGTGATTCCACATTTTCATTGCTTATTCTCCAAGTCTCATAAATATCCACAGAAGAGGATTCTGGTGTTTCAAGTGAAGTCAGACATTCAGTATTCGGATCCATTATTTTATGTGTAGATTCTTCGTTAATTTCTGCCGATGACATATGCATATCCAACTGTCTCAAATTCCCAGTCGCAGCACTGTTTCCTACAGCTTTAACACTGCTTTTTTCCTCAAAGGCAGCCCTCAAAGGTCTTTTTCCTTCTGTGATGGACCCATGATTTTTACAAAACCATTCAGAAGTCCTGGCACAAGATTCAAAAGGCGAAACATTTTTACCAGTCATAGGTATTGTTCTCTGACAGGTAAACTGCTGCAATTTCACATTAACTTTGTTCAATTTTTCATCCATGCTGCTTTTGTGACCATTAGAAACATCATGGTCCTGAGTGAGCACTCTCGGGCTACCTGAGGCAGCAGAATGATGTGCCACACTGTCTGAATTTTCTCCTTTTGCTATTACAGAGAGCTCAGATATCTTCTTAAAGCCATCTCCAAATGCAAGTAATTTGGCACTATTCTTTCTCCAGACTGATATATTCTGTGCTTCATGAATATTTTTTCCTGTATGAAGATTTGATGTATGATCATGTGAAGCTGAAAGAGTAACTTCTTGATTATTTAGTCCTAAGACTGCAAAGGAGCTTGACATGGCAACTGCCACTTCTGTTTGTAACTCACACTCACTGTGTTCATTAGCCATGTCCGTGAAAATATTCTGTCCTCCTGATTTCTCAGTGATTTTAATCTTTTTTCTAGGCTTTCTACCAGTATTCCACTTTTTTCCTCTTAAACACATACTGGTTTTACTCCGACAGCATGAAAAACACCCTTCTCCTTTTTGAGTTTTTTCTTCTTTATTAAACAATAAACCACCTTTTACAGGTGATTTCTCATTTTGCATTCTGCTAGTGCTGCAACTCATATCACACTGTTCTACAGTACCATCAGGAAAAACACAATTTCTTTTATTCTGGGCTGCATGGAAGAATCCACTCAACTTATAACTGCTGGTAGTTCCACTAGCTGAAGACTTCACAAATGTGTTGATGTAATTACAGGCCTCTAATTTCACAAATGGATTCTTTTCTGTTGCACAGAGCAAGCCATTACAATGGTTTAAGGCATTTTTGCAATGTTCAGCATCACAGTTTGCAGATACATTTTTGACTTTTTCAGCTGTCGTCACACTAAAACTTTGCAAGCACTTGATTTGATCAATTCTGGGTTTCCTTTTTTTACACTGCACACCAGACTTTTTTGTTACAGGATGGCACAGAAAGCTCTTGCTTTGAGTCCCACCTAATGTAGCAAACGTAGGAGATAGAGAGTAGTGAGGTTCCTTTTCCTTGGAATCTTCTGATCTGTTTCCATCTGTCTTAAGCTTCTTCACAGCCTGTGTAGTGGAGTTTTGCTCAATTGCTTTCCATTTTTCCTTTGCTGATTAAGAATAAAGAAGTGTCATTAATGAATATGCTAAGGGAAAAACACTACCCTATCGCAATATTTTATAAAGAGAACAAAAACCATTCAAGGCTACTACAGAACATGACACTGTGGAAGACTAAAACATTTCTGTAAAGTTTCGCCTTTTTTTTTTTCTTTTCAGTTGAGCACTATTAGCAGACTTAAAGTAACAAATGATGTTTTGTCTTCAGAAAATGCAAAGATGAACAGACTTTAAGGTGTCAAAGGGACACTGGAAGTTGTATATTTAAAACATAGGTGAAAACCAAATTAGAGGAAGTCTGGCAAGAAAATGCAAATGCTGTTTGCACATTCAGCCTTAAAATCTTTTGTTTACATAGCAGTTTCCCTGTAATAGGAAAGCTTGTTTATAAGCATATAATAATTTTTCAGATATACAGTCCAACCAAATGTATCAGACTGTTTAAGAAGATCCAAGAAAACCACAGGACTTGCCTTTTTATAAAGTACTACTCTTCATTTAAGAGCAAATACAGATTATGTAAAAAACTATATCTGACTCAAGAACGTACTAGTAGAATGTTGGGTTTTTTAGATCTTAGTTTTCAAAGTAAAAAGATACCTCAATACCTCAGTTTTTCAGAACAGGGTTTCTAGATAAAATATTTATTAATAATAACACACAGTAAATATTTGTCATGTGAATGTATCCACTTTGAAAGTAAAAAAAAAAAGCCTTTAAGGCAATTGTCCTGAGAAAAACGAGACTTTTAAAAATCCTCTTTCAAAAGCGTTCCAGTTTGATACAATGCTCTCTTAAACCACCAAAATACAATCTTTGTTTCTACACTTTTTAGGATTTTGCAGAGAGTAACAACTAAAAAGCAAAAAGTTCTGGAAACAAAACCCAGCATTCTATAAAGGCAAGCACTAAAACAAGACAGCACGATACATATGAAAAAAAAATCAAATAATACACAGATGACTCAAGAACTGACTTTTATTTTGGCTTTGCTGAAACTACTGCCTTCTTTCCTGCTTGGCCCTGACCTTCTACACATAAATCAACAGACCATATTTTAGGGGGAAAAAAAATTATTTACTTGGGGCCTGTTGCTGCCGATACCCCTTCCTCCCCACCCCCAAAAGGATATGTGGTCTCCTCTCTGTACAAAATAACTGCTTTTCTTCTTCAAGGAAAGCGTTTCCTCTTCCTAAAAATCTGTTTTCTTCTAAGACTGGTTTCACAGTATTGCAAAGATCCCAACTCTTATCTCTACACTTGTTGAGCTAAGTCAGCAGCCACCCACTTCAAGATAAGAGTATAGGTCACTCCTTCCTGCCCCCATGACTTTGTGTCCCCCCCCCAACTGCAAAATAAAAATTATCTCTTTTTTTCACCTTCTAATGTGGTCTTACTACAGCACCAGTCCCTTGTCCTGGGAGCCCACATTCTGCACCCTACAATGAGGCACAAGTGCTTACCACTTTCCTGCGGGCTGCCTGCTCCTTTCTGAGGGTTTGAGCTCTGCGGCTCTTCTTTCGTGCAACAATTGCACACCTGTCCTCCTGCTGTTGGCTGTTCTCGGCTACTTAGACCCTGTAGACGCTGTGACACCAGTGTTTTTCTGGCCCTCTTCCCCAGACTCACGGCTCCTTCCTTGGACTCTGGACACTGTGTATGTTCTAGCAAGGCAGTTGTATCCCTCTCTCTGGGACCTTGTAGTTTTGGTTTCATCAAAGATGTCCCACCTTTCTTGCTCAAGCATCCGTTTCCTTTCTCCTGTGTCCCCGGCCTTCTTGATCCAATTAAAGAACACTCATCCAACTTCTCTGGCATATCTACCTCTTCCTGAGGTTTTGGTTCAGACAAGGATTCTGGAGTCTCCAGATTCACATTAAGATCTGGGATTTGCATTTTCAGTATCATTACAGAGTCACTGGTTTTCATTTCAGTACTACATGTGCCCTTTCTGGGTTGCAGAACCTCTGGTCCCAGCAAACAGGAAACATCATGTTTCTCTGCACTCTGAATTTCTTCCTCTGAGGATGGGATTTGTAATTTTATTTCCATGAAGGAATATTTGCCTTTTTTTCCTGAGCTACCTGAACTCTCCTGGAAACTTGAGACATTCAGTCCTTCTGAGCGATGTTCTTTCCTTTCAATCCCTGTTGACAATTTATTTTGCAAAGTAGTTCCTGAGAAAAATAGCTGTTGACCTTGTCCTGTCCCTCTCCTTACAGTCTCTTCCCAGCATGTTGCTGCAGCCGTGGTCGCTGCCTGCCAATCTTCACACACAGCAGTGTCTGAAATTGGCAGAGCTACTCCCTTTTTGCTTCTGGCAGCCTCCCTGCGCTGTCTCCCCTTGTTTTTTTCACCTGGGACTTTCTGGCTCCCCTCACCTTGCTCCTTCTGCACTGGTGTAAGAGGAGCAAATTGCTCACAGGGAACACCGGAGAGGACGGCAGGTTGCAGAGAGGAAGATAAGGGCTGCTCAGCTTTCCTCTCTGGTGCCAGGTGAGGACTCTGCTTGACTACTGACTTCTTCTCCGGCTCACGTCCTACCCGCACACCCAGAGAGCTCGGCTTGGTCACCATCCAGTTAGCCGACTTCACCTCGCCGACAGCCACCACCCTCCCTGACCTTAACTGTGGCATCGCAGAAGCCTAGAGACAGCAACAAAATCCACTCACCGGTGCACTTTTAGCAGCCCTCCAGCTAGCCCAGCACCCAAAGCAGGCACAGGCCCGACCAGGAGGGGAGCACAACCTCCCTCAGGCTGCCGCCCCAGGGATCACCCAGGGGGAGTCCAGCCTGACCGAAAGCCCGGGCCGCATGGGGAAGGCCCAAGGCCACCAACCAGCACCCACCACCGCCCCGCCCCGCCCCAGCCCGGAGCAGCCCCTCACCGCGGAGAGGGAGGGAGGAAGCAGCTCCGAACCTCCCCCACCTCAGGGACCGCGCCGCCACCGCCGCCCGCGCCCACCCCCGCGTCC